GCTGGTCTCAACCCCTCTTGCAGATTGCTTGAGTATCCTCCTGGGTGCTCATTAAAATAAAATAACTGTCTGAAACAATAAAATTGCTCTTCTTTAGCTTTTCAGTTCCAGCCTTTTGCTTGACCTCCACATAATTGCAAAAGGAGATGTTTATCACTGAGGAGGGAAGAATGGTTCCTCAGCAGACTTTAGCCTCTCTTCCCTTTAATGTCACCCCAGTACAGAGATATGTATCTAAGTGTTCAACTACTTCTGCTTCCTAGGAGGAAAGCTGCTATTTTGCTCTCACAGGCTTCTTGCAATGTTTCCCTAGAGCAACTCATACTGTGCATTGCAAAGGTCTGTCTCCTGGAGCTGGCAAAGCCTGCTCTGAGCCTCTGGATGGTCCCAGCACTAATGCTTCTTGTCACCTCCTGTCACAGCCACCCACAGATGCCATCGAGTAGCTCACGGTACTGGAGCAGGTTTACGATATATACTATTTACTGGTAACAGCAATGTAATGGATTCACGGCCTGAATCTGACCATGATGCAAATTAAATCAGATTCTCCTCCCTCTGCTGCTGTGTTTTAAGTAAAACTCTTCTTATTTTGGGAGAGGAAGGGGGATTCTCAAAGGGGCAGGCAGGGGACAGGAGAATCCTTAGCTTTACAGATACACTTTTCATTCTCAGCGTGTACCTAAAGTATATCGCACTTAGTTTATACCATTTTTATAATGGGTTCTCTTTTGCATATGGAAACTCTATACAGCAACATAATAGTTTAGTCCACCTAGTTTGCACTGTCTTACTAGATTATGAGTAATACATCGCCTGTGATGTGTTGTTTCTGGTGACTTTAGTTAGTGAAACTGCTCATTTTAATCATACTTACTGGGCCAAACACATCTACTAAACACTAACAGAACTGTACTGGTACTTTATGGTATTTAGGGCATGGGATTCCCAAGTGATGGCACCTTCAGTATTGAGTCAGTAGGCATCAAGAGCATAAATCTGTATTTACCATGTTTCAGTGATAACACTTTCCTGTATGGCATTATTGACCCAATTTTAGATTTTTGCAATACTCGCAGCCAAAAAGCTTAGCATAGTTTTCTTTTTGGACAGTTATAAAGTAATGAAAACAAGGTAAAAACAGTCCAGGAAGGGAATAAAGTGCACAGCAAGACAGAGGACTGCTGTGACCTACTCAGTTTTTTGCGAACTTAAGACATGTAATTGTTTGTTAATAAGTGTTCCAGCTTCTTCACATGCCCATGGGAAAAAATAAATCAGTAATAATTAGAAAACGAGTTTTCTTTCCCATTTTGCCTTTGCACTTCACCATCTATTCTCTATTAACTGCTCTCTTCATTTGTTTGCTCAATCTTCTCTCCTGAGCAGATAAAAGGGTTTAATTAAAGCAAAGCCTAATACTGTCAGTGGCAGGAGAGCTGCCAACCCTGGTGGTTTTAGTGAGTCTATTAAGCTGACCTAAGCATGCTAATACTTAATAAATTCCTTCTATTCACAGCAGTCCTTTGCAAATATTCCTTTATCTCATATGAAAAACTAAGTTATGCAATTCAAATGAATAATAAAAGACCAGACTGCACACTCTACCTTATCTTCATATATAGTTCTGTCCCAAGAGAAGCAGCAGCATACTATGGATCATAACCTCTGCTGTACCAGAAGCACTGCTTTAGAATATAGAAACAAACAACAACAGTTGCAGGGGAAGTATTCCGTTTCAGAGATTACCAAGAAGAAACCAGCACTAGACAATCAAAACAGAACTTCTTTTTTCAAGGATCTGCTGCCATAGCCCATTTGCAGAGCTGTTCTAAACCTATCAGAAGGACATCTGTTATACCCATCTAGTATAGTTTATCTCTAATTTATCCAGAGGAAAAAAAAAACAACAACCAACAGATTCTACAGATCACTAACATCTTCTGTCACTGCCATAGCACTTAATATGGTAGAAAATACTTTGAAGAATAACAAGTGAACTACATAACAGTACTAGTCAATATCACTACTTATCAAAGTCAAAGTCTTTATCCTCCTTAATATCATTTGTCTTTCTCCAGGGCTCCACAGCTCCAGCTATTACTCAAACAAAGTTTTTAAAGCAACAAAGCACTGAACGTTCATCTCTTATGTAAGAGAACAAATCTGTAGCAGTAGAAGAGTTTCAGTTCAACAAAAGTCTGGACAAAAAAAAAATAAAAAATAAAAATCTGTGAGGCTTCTAAAAGAAAAAACGAGAGTGCTCATGTCAAAAAGAAAATAGCAATATTAATTCTTCTCTCCTGAAAGATTAATGTCATTGTTTAGATAATGTAATAAACATGGGGGTGGAGGGGGCAGGAGGGAGTGGGCCCCACCCTGATGTCCAATAGGAAACACACTCAATCACCAGCATGATTTTTTTAAGTGCACTTTTACCTGAGAACTACTGTCAGGCAAATGCAGAAATGATGGTGGAGCAATCCCATGGCATCATTTCTCCAGCCATTTGTGATCACCCTAATAGAAAACATTGGCTAGCACACTGGCGAGCAACAGCTGATTTTTTATTCACTCTCCATTTTCAGGTTTTGCAAAGGGTCCTGGATACCTTGCTTGTTTTAGTTCATACAAAATTACCATACAGGTGGAAAAAACAGTAAAAGGATCATAGTTCTGTGAACAGATAGGATCATATTTTAAGCTCAAAACAGAAACTGACAAGAAATAAGAAAAAGAAATAAGAAAGATAAGGAAAAAAGCACTCATCTTTGTAAGGGTTTACCAGAGAAAAACTAAATCACACACATGCCTGTTATTGTATTTAGTGTAGAATTTACATGCCAGCTACTCCAGCAAGGCTAACAACACATCAGCAACTTTGCACAGAAGCAGAACACCTACTGAGAAAAATAAACTAGCCTTCTCCATCAAGGACTGTCTTTCTGCTTCCCCAAGGAAAGAGAAATTACGCTGAAGTCAGCTACAGCATGTGGCAATCGTGTTGCTAAGACATAGTTGTGGTGAAGCCTCCAAATAAAGGACAGCTTGGCACTTTGACGAATTAGGCTTCTTTGCAATCACCTGAATATACCCCCAAGCAATTCTCCTCTGTGTTATTTCATTAATTTATTTCATATCCTTGCGGGGCAAAAGAGCGCTTACACTAGATAATGCAACAGCCTGCAGACCTTTTCTCACACGGCTCAGTTCTGCTGTTCTACTGCATGGGAACACCCGCTTGTCAGAGAACAGCAAATACAGAGTTAGACCAAGAAGAAGCAAAGCAAATTCTCTCCTGAAGACAGAAAGAATAAACTTGTTTTATGGAAGAGAAATATGGCAAAACCTTTTCTATTCTTTTAAAAAAAAAAAACAAATTAAGAACCTTGACAAAAATCTAGTTTGCCACAGAAGGCTACGAAAATACCCCCCTCTACGCCCTATTCCCCCATCCCCTGCCTCTCATGCCATCTTGCTACCAAACAATTCCCCTTGTGGTAAAAACCCTAGTTAGGAAAGGACCATGTGCAAAAGAACTGTGACATCTGTCCTCCAACTTATGTTTGTATAAAAACGGTAAAATTTTAGTAACAAATACACTTACCTCTTAAAAACCTATGTATTTGTTATTGAGGAAATTGATATTGTTCTGAAAATAAACACGAGTAAAAAACCTGTTATCATTTTTCCTTCAATTCCTAACTCTAGGTACCATCAATACACAACGGTAACAAGGCAATAAAACCATTATTTCATAAGAAATTTATAGTATTTTTGTTCACAGCTGTTGATTTATATAAATGGACTTTATACTGCTAGGCAACGTGATTAATATACCAGAAAAGAAGGTAAAAAGTAGGTCAGTGATATAGCACAATGGTTCTTCAACTCAATCGCCTCCCTGCCTCCAACTTGATGCATAACATTCATTCCTCATATTTTGGAGCTCTAAATGACACTGTAACTAGACGCAGAAGATGAGAATTATTAGACATTATCCACCCTTGATCTTTACACAAAATTCCCATGACATCTATAGAAATTCCACAGCTGCACAAAATAGAATAAGGTCCATGGCAAACACAGCTTTCAGGATTTGCTCTTCAATAAATATCACAAGCATAAGAGAGACAGCAAATGTTAACATTTTATTTGTTTTGAACATATAAAGGTTATAACTCTCTGAAACAATTCTTTTAGAGCCATCTTGTGGGGAAAATAAGCAATTTAAAACAATACATGTACTTTAATATGTTTTCTACCAAAAAGATCAGCGTTCAGTATGACATCTTCTAGTACTCTTTTAAAAAAATAAATGTTTCAGTCACACTGTAAACTTTATACAACATTGTTTAAACCACTCGAACATGAAGCAAGTGCTTTTATGAACACTCATGTATTAAAAGATTCGTTCTAGGTAGAAAAAAATTATATGCCATGAAGTTAAAGATGCTATTTTTCTGAAGAATGCTTTTAGGCCAGATTCCATTCAAACTCCACCCTACTGCAGCCCACAAAAAAAACCCAACACCACAAAAACGTAGAGAAGCTGAGGTTTCTTTCAGATCTCACTTGGCCAAATCAGTAAATCAGATGGAATTATTCAATCTAACTAAAGTGGGGTAAAGCCCCCTTTATCCCCAATAAATGTAAATGTAGTACCAGATTCAGCACTCAAAGCTAAAAAGCTTTTGTTCTTTAACAGCCTTAGCGTTGCCAACTTATTTAAAGTTTTGGTAATCTTCTGCTAGTTATGAAGGATTTTACAACAGCTGCTATAAAGAACTCATTAAATGACAGTTTTCTGTTTGTGTACAGTTAAGTGCACAGTTGGGCAGTCAATTTCAGAATAACCAAAAGTCTTGATGAATGATTATTATATCTTCAGCTACCTAGAGCAATCAAACATCAGTTGCTGCTTGATCTATGTGCCTTGTCTATGAAGCAAAGCGCTTAAATTTTATCCTAGAGAACAAAAGCGCACATGTAGCCCATATATCTTAGTCAGTTTTAACTTATGCCCTATTAAAATACTTCATTTACATAGAACATTAAAGCATATCACATCACATTTGTCCAATATATAATTATCTTCTACTAATACAAAAGGAAAACAGAATGTCACAGAGCGCTTTTACAAAGTGCACAATCAAGAGGTGTCACAGAAATATGCACTTTTTGGAGCTGTTACAATCAGTGTGTAGTGTAGACTAGCAGGCACCTCTGTTAACTTCTGTTTTTTAAATAAATAAGGAAATTTGACAACAAAAGGGTCTTACGGTACCCAAAGCCTCTGACAGCTGTAACTAAACAGAACATACTGGCACCCAGATGTATAACCAGACAATTTCGCTAAGGCAAGCACAAGTATGTCAATTTTTAATTTTAAACTTCTACCAAACTTTGAGTGAAAGGAGGTGTACATGTGCGCTTACAGCTTTCCTTGCTCCTTAAAGATGACAATGAGATCCACTTCTTCCACATCCTCTTTAAACTTTGGAAAGGAGCCCTGACTCAGGGGCACTCGCCTTAATAAGATTTTGGATTTCTTTGAATTTTGGATGTTCTTTATCAGCTACCAGCTGCAGCAATATAGCTTCGCTAGTAGTAACAATAATTCCAGTACGAGCAAGACGCTGAAAGAGAAAAGAACAGACAAAGAATAATGTGAGATACTTGCAAATGTGAATGAGTATACATTTTGTAAGAAAGATAGATGGTATTTTTAAAAACATCTCCTATTAACAGAAGTATTGTCAATTCCATTCCAGCATTTCTTAGTAATGCCATTTATAAAACTTGGATGGAAAGTGACTGGTTTTAGACTTTACTGAGGAAAAAAGCTGCCCTGGATTACAAATAAGGCTTCCTACTTGGACTGGATTCTTTCCCCATGTCAGATTTAATAGGCAGAAGACACCCCCCTCTTCTATTAACAACCCTTCCACCTTGCATTGTTCCGAGGATACCTTTCTTCACTCTCATGCATATTTGAAAGGCCTGGGGAAAAAGAAAATAGCAAGGTCCGTCCAAGCTAAAGGCATTAAACAAGAAATTTAATTGTAACAATTTCTCTTTCAGGGCTTGTTATGTACTAGTACTTAGGTCTTTGCACTACTGCTACAACTGCGCTACTACTAATAATCTCAGGAGACAGAACGAAAAGCTCTTCTACAGACCTTATAAATCATACTGGCACAACAGCAGCTCCTTTTAACCAACATCTCATTACAGCCTCAGTAACTCCTGAGTTAGCTCTCAGAGGTTAGAGAACAAAAAAAAAATAAATAATCGCTGCACAGAAAGCAAAACTGAAAGAGGCCTGCTAGATCTTGTAAGTGTGCAACTAAACAGAGTAATACTTCATGTAGCCCAAGCCACAGGACTTATTGCAAAGTTTTTTGACTTTTAAGGCTCTGGTTGTTTCCTACATGGAGAAGTTATCTTTACTTAAAAGGCTGACCACCCCCTGCCTCCCACCAATCATACAGACGCTTTGTCAGTAAAACTCTTCATGAATCCAGCTTTCCCTCTGTCATTCTCTACTCAGCTGCAAGCTCCACCAAATATAATGGGGTTCTGAATGAGCCAAGGTACAGCAAAAGGAAGAAAATACAGATACATATGGCTTCAGACAGGTTTCAATTGTAATTACTAAAAGAAAGAGAAGGTCCAAACTTTTTAGGGCAGACATAGATCACTGCTGTTTAATCAATCACAAAGCAGTTGATGAGGGAAAGTTATTAATCTTAGGGGTCCAGCAGAGTATATGTAACTACAGACAATATAGTGATATACTAACTGGGCTAGATTTACTCAAGTCAATGATTCCTGCGTGCAATCATGGCAGCAAGCCTTGCGATATTCTTAAGTTGAAACAAAGCAGATAGCTTCCCCAGCTGTCCTACTCTGTACAATGACACATTTGTTTAAACCACATACACAAACAAAAGAGAAAAATAGGAAAATCAAAATGAAATATTATGGCAATGTTTTTAAGATGTACTTCTCCAGGAATACAAAGGTTTTGCTTTTAACTAGTATGGATAAGAGAAAAAACAGACTGTTAAAGAATCTTGCCTTTGGAGAAAAGGTGATTGAAAAACGATAATGTCTTCTCTTTAGAAGCAAAACATACCATAACGTCAAAGAGGCTGGCATTGGCTTATACTCTACTTCTAGGGCTAAGTATAATTTATGCAGTATTGCGAAGAGTAGGAATGAGGAGATGCACGTGCTAAGCATACTAGATAATTTTCCAAGGAAAGGGAAAGTTTTCTTAGAACAGTCTTTCAGACAAGGGAAAGCAGCAAGCGTATGTTACATTCACACTGCACAACAAGTAGAATAGATGCAGAACAGAAAAGAAATGCAGCAGGAACAGACTAAACTGGCTCAGTTCGAGACCAAGCAGTGACACAAGGCATCTTCATCAGACAGGGCAGAGATTAAGAACAGGGACAACCTTGGCCAGTTGGATTCAATTAGTTCATCAATGGAAAAATTGAGTTTTTTGGTTTCTGGGTTGTTTGTTCTTTTTTTTTTTTTTTTTTTTTTTGGGATTGCAAGCCTTTGCCTTCTGTCATTTTTAAGCATACAACAGAAGTGGAGACAATAACTCTTCAGGGTCATCCAAGAAGGCATGAAAGCTTTGGCTGTCAATTAATTCAAACCACACTTCCTAAGTATACCTGTTCATGTATTTGCATGTTTGTCACCAGCATCATCAAAACACATGCTATGTGAGGGGAAATGTGGAGAACTGAAGGGATGGGTGGGACCAGATGGGATTTATTTGAGGTTGCTGAGGCAGCTGGTTGTTACCACTGCATCATCCTTGAAAGGTCACCACGAACAGAGGAGGGCTGTGTTACTGGGAAAAGGTTAACGTTACATCCATCTTCCCAGAAAGGTAAGGAGAAGGAACAAGGGAACCCATATCAACCTCATCTCAGCTCACCAGATGTGGAGCAAGTTTGCACAAGATATAATGTCAGACTCACCAATCAAAAGAGCGTGACTAGGAACTACCAGCTGCACAGTAAGACTAAAGCAGGATTAGCCAATGCTTTGGTATTTTACCAACTTCCCTAAGAAACGCATCACCATGGTCAATCAGGATTACTGTCATGCCCAGTACGAATCCCTTTCTCCCGGTCTCCCGCTCCCAAGCATGCCTGCCTCTTGCTGCTTCAGCGCACAGCCCTCTGAAGCATTTTTAAGAGAGGCTCGACAGCACAAAAAGGAGACAATGTTGGCATGCACAGCCACAGAGGAGGAGGAGGAGGAGTTACTGCCATGTAACTGGCTAGCTCATCACAGCAAGCCAGCAAACGTTCCCCAAATCATATATTAATGATGACTACTTGAGGAACCACAGCAAAACACTTCCTTTGTGCTTGCTGAGAGAACATTGCAAAGATATACTGAAAAGTTACCTAAAACTGACAAATTTGCCTGTATTACAGCTTTTGCAACCAACCACGCTTTTGAGATGATCGATACCTTTTTGACTAGAAAGAAAAGCAAAGCTAGCTAGTCACTGCTTTACCCGCTATTACACTGAATCAACTTCTATGCGTGCAGACACGGTGTAAGTCATAATCAAATGTACAAAAATGTACACAATAAAGGGAAACAGATTTCAATTTTTCTACATTTGTTTCATCTGCTACTGCTGCTGTACCACACTGTCTTGGGAAGCCCATGATTTCAGTCATTCCTGCACTCCATGTGCATCACTATGCTTTATGTGACAGATGACATTAAGCTTTTACTTAATCAAAGTCATGGGTTTCATCAAACACTATATGCTGGTGATTTCCCTTTAGCCTTTAATTCTCTTATTCATGAGAAACAGAAGAAATTAAAAGTCTTCTCCAAATCTATGAAAAAAGCATAAAATGCTGTAGTTATTATTAGTTCCAATTCCCAAATAATTGTTAGGGCCTGAGGCAAAAATTGCCATACTTAATGTATATATCATCTTTTGATTTCCAACAGCGATCCCTGTAAACAAGTTAGAGTACACTATAAAAAAATCGTCTGCATGAATTTGCTACCACATAGTTGTACGTGCTTTTAAATCTTGTTACATTTATCTCCACTTTCTCAACATTAGTTAGACTAAGCTCCTAGAAGGGGGGCAGGGGAAATCTTTACAATAATCACAGAGTCTGGAGATTAAGCTTTAATTTGCATGGATGAGGAAGAGCAGAGGGAGGGACAGACATACAAAAAGGAACTTTGAACCGGATCACTTACTATATTCCATTGCATTTCAAGGAATTTCAACAGGACCACAAATACTGTTTGGAACAACAAAAGCAAAGGCTCTATAGCACTTTTTCTCTGCTGTACAGGTAACACTCCATAAGAAAACATCACTTTTAAAATGCTAATGGCTATAGAGTAACCTAGAATGCATGAAAAAAATCACTTTTAAAATCCAAGTGTACCAAACTGGGTTCCACATATTCGACCACAATGTAGGGAGGAAAAATAAGGCAGTAATCCTTCTCCATCCTGGAAGCTATTCTGAGAATCAGAGCATTCACCTCTTCTCAAGTCTATGTTTGTCCACTGATTACTGTCCTCAGAAATTCCTCGTTAGCTTACAATAAGCAGGGAAATTAACATACAGATCCAAGTTGGAGAAAGCCTTCACCAAGAACCTTACCTCAAGAGCAAACATTCTGTCCATCATACTTCTTGATGAGGTGGCATCAGCTACGATATGAACTTCCAGACCTCTGCCAATTAATTCCAATGCCGTTTGCTGGATGCAGACATGAGTCTACAGAGAAGAAATAAAAGGCAAAACACCCACCAACAAACTATTATTATAAAACACAAGTAGCACAATGCCAAATTAGAGTACATAATTAATTAGGGTTCAAACATGTATTTTTCTCCACCTGACATTACTAGGGAACTCAATGTGGGTCTTAAATGCCAACCAAGCTTGAGACAAGAGCCTGTAGTTTACAAATATGTCATTTCAATTTTTATTATGAGATAATATCAAAGACAAATAACACACGAATAATTTAATCTGTAGAGGAGCTCTAAGCAATATAAATTGTCTGGTTTTTAATTACAGAAAGCAATGCCGAAAAACACTGTGGGCCAACACACGTTACAAGTACACGAATGGGAAGGCACATACTTCTACTCCAAAAAGGACAACGCTGCGGATTCCAGGGATCTCTGCTAATGCTGCTTCAACTTCTGGCAAAACCATTGAAAATTTTGTTTTGGGAAGCACAAGTTTAGCTCCTGTTAAATCAATTTCTTGCACAGTGCTGCCAAGACCTTTGGGATACTGTTCAGTTACAATAACTGGAATTCCTAAGAGCCGTGCACCTTGGAGCTGCAAGGGGGCAGGAAGAAAAGTGTAAAGAAATTATTAAAGAACAATAATAGCAAAGACATTGGTATTACCCGAAACTGAATAACCAGTAACCTGGCTATGTATAAAATAATAGTTTACATGCATGATCAAAATTCACTACAAGAAAAAAAAGCAAAAGACATACCAATCGTTGGCCCACACTGATGATATCACCGAAGTACTTGATGGCAGGCCGGAATCGCTCTTGCATATCACAACAGAAAAACACAGTGCTTGAGGGTGTCAGGTTGCCCAAAGTAGTCATCTGAAAAACAAATAAACATAATGTTTTCCGTGGCAGCAAAGACCCTTTCAGAAAAGCAGCAGAATGAGAAAGATTCTGCAATGCTTCTGCCAGGTAACTGATTTAATGTTACTTCAAGTCAAAACAGGATAAAAGTTTTTCAAGACTGATTTTGGTATGTTTCTAAATCCAAATGAACAGCTGATCCTATGAAGTATAGTACAGTCATCAATAGGTAATCAAGATTTTATTAGATGGGAGACACACATAAATGTACATGGAAACTTCTGAACCTTGAAGGGGGGCAGAAGAGCATACTGCCTAAAGTACTGCAAAAAGAAGAAAAAAAAAAGAAAAAAAAGAAAAAGTACCAGCAGCAAAATCACATTCCTTCAATTCATTTTTAAATGCACAACTCTTGGAACTGACATAAAATCAGGATAAATTAAAGTTAAAAAAGAAGTCAGACTTCCACTTGCTTTCAATACTGTATGTCCCAATATTTTCAATAGTTTTAATGTGTAGTCAATTTTTTCTATAACATCTTTTAGCACAAGCCTGATGAGAGTCCAAAGCTAGAATGAAATCAGAAAAGCATGTCAGTATTATGACCAGAAACTGAACTGAATATTTTTCAATGATAAAAATAATCTCCCAGCCTCCCTCTTACAGACTACAGAGTAGGGTAGAAGGGGGGAGAGGGTAAGAAACAAGAAATCAAAGATTGCATTTTCTCACACTTTGAAAGAGTGCTTTGTGTTTGTATGAAATTACTTGCACTACCTGCAGAAGTAAAGGATAAGGATTCAGCTGGAGGCTACAGGGAAAGAAAACAGCTACATCCTATCATTTAGTCGTAAGGCAAGTCAAGAGAAATTACATCTCTTCAGGAGCTTTTCAGCACACTGATAAATCAAATTGAATAAACTGCCTGTGGGAAGTAGCCATTAATTGTATATACTTCATTTTTTGCAAATTGAGGTTGTGATATTTTAAACTAAAACAAAGTTACAAAATCTATAAAATAGTGTATTTTGGAAGAGCTGGGATGTGCTGGGTTTACATGGCAAGGTTTTGGTAGTGGGGGAGGACACCAGACACCAATGTCACTAAGGAGAGGGAGGAGGTGCTCCAGGCACCAGAGCAGAGATTCCCCTGCAGATCATGGTGAAGACCACGGTGAAGCAGGCTGTCCCCCTGCAACCCACGGAGGTCCACAGTGGAGCAGATATCCATCCACCTACAGCCTGAGGAGGACCCCACACCAGAGTAGGCGGATGCCCAAAGGAGGCTTGTGACCCTGTGGGAAGCCCATGCTGGAGCAGACTCCTGACAGCACCTGTGGCCCCATGAAGAGGAGCCCACGCTGGAGCAGGTCTTTTGGTAGGGCCTGTGATCCCACAGAGGGCCCATGCTGGAGGGATCCGTTCCTGAAGGACTGCACCCTGTGGAAATGACCCATGCTGGAGCAGTTTCTGAAGGACTGCAGCCTGTGAGAAGGACCCACATCGAAGAAGTTTGTGAATGACTGTTTCCCATGTGTGGGACCACATGCAGGGGAAGAGTGTGAGGAGGAAGGAGTGGCAGAGACTAAGTGTTATGAACTGACCGCACTCCCTTTCCCCATCCCCGTGTTCCACTTGTGGGGAGGAGGGAGAGAAGTCAGAAGTGAAGCTGACCCTGGGAAGAAAGGAGGGGTGGGGTGAAAGCATTTTTTTACATTTGTTCTTATTCTACTCCGTTATTGATTGGCAATAAATTAAATTAATTTCCCCAAGTCAAGTCTGGTTTTCCTGTGACGGTAATTGGTAAGTGATCCCCCTGTCCTTATCTTGATCCACAAGCTTTTTGTCATATTTTCTCTCCTTGTCCTGCTGAGGAGGGGGAGTGATGGAGCAGCTTGGTGGGCACCTGGCGGCCAGCCAAGGTCAACTCACATTTAAGGAATCAAGAATCCTTAAATATTAGAGCCAAATCTTACATTGATTCACCACATCTCCTAAGTAAAACACTTCTGAGCTCCATTTCCAAGGCTAAAATACTACAGTAATAGCCATGCTCAACTATATAGAATGGCCTGTTCAAACTGTTCTGAAAATTACTTGTGTGTTAGAATTGTAAACGCTAAATTCCCCAACCCCTCAGATTCAGTACACCACTACTGCCAAATAACTGCAGTTCCTCCAGTCCTTGTGGGCAAAATGGCAATACTATTAATATAAGCAGTTATGAAGGCAAATGCAGTAATGACCATAAAGCAGATGCTCTAATGCGGGACCCACTGATGCCATAGGAAGACAGAAGAGCATCACAAGAGGCATCAGGGAAATCTTTTTCACTAGGAAGGTACACTTGCACTGAAACAGGTTACCACAGGTGGTGGGATCTCCATCCTTGGAGGTTTTCAGCATTCAGCAAAGCAACAGCTGATTTGATCGAGAACTGGCTTTGCACAAGTTAGGAAACGCAGCCTCTTTGATATCTCTCCCAAACAACACTTCTGTGATTCTACACCATGTAATAAATGAGGCCTGGGACAAAGTATGCTTGAAAATAAAATTAAATATTGAATAATTCCCTTGTTCTTGAACACCATCCATCTACATGCTTCAACAATGCAGAAGCCAGCTGGTAGGAAGCACTAACATACACCTCAACATCACAGTAAGCACCTACCGTGACCCATTCCAACTCTGGCACTTAGTACCATCAAAGCAGTCAATCATGAAGTTTAACTTTCCTACTGCTCAGCAGCAAAAATAGAGTAATTGGAATAGGCAATATTTATAAGTGTGCCTCCTACTCAGAAAAGGTGTAATTTTGTCTTGGCTCTTATATGACAAGCAAAGACCATTATTTTCTTCTATAAATCATTCCACCACTTCAATTATTTTTAAGATCATTTTGAACTACTGAAAACCATCATGGATTGTACAGTGATCTATGTGGAGTTAGTCTACTGCCTTGGTGTCCACCTTGCTATGCCAAGGCAGTGGATGGCACTACCATCCTTAGCAGAGGAACAAGAACGAATAGACTAGGAAGGCCTTCAAGAAGCTGCATAGTCTGCCTCTAGAGAAGGATCAACCAAACACAAATATTCTTCACAGATATGTACCTGGTCTGACCCACCAACAATGCACAATTTACATAGCTACTATACAATCCATCCCACAGCTCTGTTACCTTTACCTTGCTGTGCCTTCTCACCCACAGTTCCTTTGTTGACATTTTAGAACATTATTTCCAGTTCTGCCCACGGTGGATTTGAAATGCAAGACCACTACCATCCTCCTTCACGTGCATAACCATGCACAACCACTTATTACCATTATCTCAAAACTCAGATACAATCTCCCTTTAGTCCTTCCCCCCCCTCTCTTATTCTAAAGCACATCCAATATTACAATCTTTCCTCCTACAACTCAAATAATTTTCATTGCCCTACCTGGGGTGCTTTTCAAATTGAAGTCTACAGTGAGGCACCCAATACTACTATAACAGTAGTATTTCTCTGCCCGTACTACTTCTCAGCACTAGCAGAGCCTCAGAGATCAGCCAATTCACAGCCGTTGCAGGCCCTGTTCAATTTGTACTTTCCAGTATGCTATTTGCCCTTTTCATAATTGATGATACTTAGACTCCTGAGGTGCATTTTAACCTCAAAATCATCCCTTCAACTCTCCCTCATCTTTTATTTGCGTAGTTGATTTTTTCTACCTTAGCATTGGAATTATTTCTACCCTTGTTACTTCCATTTTGAACTGCATCTTATTTCACCTTGTTATGAAAAGCCTGAATTCTGCGCTCTCAGATGCTTGCAGCTCCTCCCAGCTTGGCACCTTCTGCAAAAGCAGTACTTGCCCTTAGTTTCACCAATGACACAGATGAAAGAATATTTACAAACAGTGGATACAGAACAGCTCTTATAGAGTATAATTCAATATTATTATGATTTGACAGTGAAGCACAGAAGAAAAACAACTGCCTTTCCAGCCAGGGAGCATCCTTATTACAGACTTCCACTGGACCCATAATACGACGCGTTTATGACAAACATCACAGGGAGCTGGAGCAAAAGCCTTATATATACTTTCTTCTATTATCAATATGATTTAATTTATGCCATCAGTTTAATAGCAGTGGCACTCTAAAGTTTGGTAAAGTATATATTTGCTAAATACAAGTTTTACAAAATCTAACCCAAATAATTCCTATATTGATTTTCATATTTGTTTCTGATTAACTTGCAGTCTGAATCAAACCACGCAACATGTGGCAGAACAAGAAGAAACCAGAAGAAATAGATGGTAAGATCAAAAAATCAACACTTGCTGGCGTTATTTGGAATAGCAGATGTGGGAAGGACAGAGCGCAGCAGAAAGCAGTTTGAAATTAAGTTTCATAAATAGTAGCTAATGCAGTCCATAAATAAATTCACAGCAGTATCTGCTATGTATAAAGGAAAGTTTTTGTTTACTGGTTCATCAGCGCACCACATAAATCCTACTACTCACTTGCTCTCAAAGCCATCTCCCCCTTCTGTGGCCACACTTGCATCAGGGACATGGGACACCTCCACCTCACAGTGGAAAATAACCACCTCACCCTGACAGTGAAAACCATGACCACCTGCACCTCTCCAGCACCGTACCCTGCCAGTGAGCCGGGGTGGGAGCAAACCTACACCCAGACATCAAACCCTGGGCCGGCATGCCAGGACCTCTTTGCTTTCACTACGAGGAGAAACAGGCTGGGCAAGGATGGTGAGCCACTGAAGCCAAAGGCTACCTGTCCGAATCCATCATGAATATAACACCTGCTCAGCCACAATACCATCAAATAACCTAAAGAAAAAAAAAAAAAAAAAAAAAAAAAAGAAAACCAACACCAAATCACCTGAAGTTCCCCCACATAGTATATAAGCTTTTCCATCTTGTTTAGCTTCACCTCTCTCATTTAGGGCTTTCTTCCTTCCAGCTGGAAGTTACCCATAGCACAACCAGAATAGGTACGTCAGA